CAACCTGCTTCCTAACAAGCATCTTTAAGCACTTGAAGTCGAATGGATGGATCCATAATAACCATTTTAAATGACAACTGCAAATCAAGAAATCAAAACACTAAATGAAGGAATAACTCTTGCCTTATCTTCCGACTACTAATGCTAAAAACTGTGAATTTCATTGGTTATACAAGAAGCTACTGAACTTATTCGATACATGACAGCAAAAAGGGACTTCAGCTCGCGATAGTTGGGATTAACGCATTGGATTTCGCACCCTAACTTTTCTTTTAAAAACGATTCACAATTCTTTAAAAACATAATGCAACAGATGTTTTTCTCCCAGGACCTCATGACAGATGGCGATGCTCTTGAAAAAGCGATTGACCCAATGCTTTCACCTCAATATGACTATCGGGATGATGCAACTACACCCACAGCTACCGCTGCCAGCGCTGCATTTACACGTGGCCAAAATCTCTTTTACACTCTGAAACTTCCACGCAGCCTTCTTGTCTCGAGTGCTTTTTCCCGTATCTCACGGATGAATTCAACTTTGAATGACTATCAGCCTAATCAAACCCTCACATCCCCAATTTCGGCACAACCACCATCACCGTCTGGACAACCGCCAACTTTGCAAGCGGGGTCACAGCGACCCTTTGTGGATGCAACACCAATCACTGATGAGAAGCAGACTCTTGTATTCACTGACCCCATGGAGACTAACTTGCGTGACATACTGATCAAGCTTCAGATCTTCGTGGCTCAACACTACACCCGTTTGCGGGAAGCTCCATTAAACGTGCGAAACTGGCTTACTAATTGTATTTAAGTAGCTGTAACCTTTCACCTGTATAATTTTATAGGAACGACAAATGCATCGTGTTTTGCGGGACTTGTGCCGTCTCATTCTACCTGAAGTCACTTCTTCAACATCAAGCAATGCCACTGATGGAACTTCAAAGGCGGATATCTACCAAATGTGTGGTTTTGCGGTAAATAGTTTGCAATTTTATATCCGCACTTGGGCAGAGGGCTTTCAATTCACTTTCTTCCTTACAGAATCCCTACAAGCCAGACGATGATTTCAAATTACCACCAAGAATGCTTGTCGTTATTTGTCTCTCCTCTTTGGTAAAGCATCGAGGTGGTCTCATTCGAAAAATCCTAGAAAACCAAGGTGCATTTGAAGCAATCAGAAAGAATCGTCCACTCGAAGATTCGCAGGAGTCTGCACCGCCTCCGACCTCCCTTCTAGCTTGGATGGGAGCTGATAAAGCCATGGAATGTCCAATATTTCCTCTTCTGCCGGCTGTACGAGCTGTTTCTTCAGTGATGTGTGAGAATTTTGACACTATCGGTAGGCCTCCTTCTGTGTAATTTAGGGCGCTGACTTGGTTCCATCTCTACAGTTTCTTAGATGGAGTCCTTTGCACCACTTAGCGTAGACCAAGGAAGGAAACATTATCACCACTTACTTTTGTAGGCTCTAATACACTTGTCAAAAAGTTAGTACGTCAAATTTTTG